AGGGTGGGATGTTTCAAGAGAACAGCATCGAAACATGTATATTATCTAGGGTGAAACAGATCACCAGCCCAGGTTGGATGCATGAGACAAGTGCTCGGGGCTGGTGCACCGGGAAGACCCAGAGGGATTGGGTGGAGAGGGAGGTGGGAGGGGGGATCGGGATGGGAAATACATGTAAACCCATGGCTGATTCATGTCAATGTATGGCAAAAACCACTAAAATATTGTAAAGTAATTAGCCTCCAACTAATAAAAATAAATGAAAAAAAAAAAAAAGAACATCTGCTTGTAAGAGACTCATGTCACTTCTGCTCACATTTTATTGGAGAAAGAAAGTGCCATGCCTGAAATCAACAGAATGGAAAAGAATAATCCTGCCTAAGGAAAAGTAGTAAATATTTGTAAACAGTATCCCATGTACCCATTGCCTTCAACAGCATAACTAAAGATGGAGTACATAGCTCAGTAAATAAGAGCAATAAAGAAAACAATTTCTGAGTAAAATTTAAAGGTACAGAAAATGTGTTCATGCAGTTGATTGCATTTTAACCAAATAAAGATCCTTTTGGACAGTATGATCACTAAACTTAGCTCCACAGCAGAATATCTTTCCACAGACCCACAGAACATCTAAAAACTATGGTTGAAGAAGTGAGATAGACTTTGGCATGTGTTCTTCTGTGATAGCTATAGACACTTATTGGTTTTGCCTTCCTGACAACCCTTCGCATTTTTTGAAAACAGAACCCTAATTTTTATTTCAAGGGCTTCCCAGGTAGCACTAGTGGTAAAAGAATCTGCCTGCTAATATTGGAGATGTGAGACGTGGGTTTGATCCCTGGATCAAGAATAGGAGAGGAGCCCGGCGGGCTACTGTCCATGGGTCATAAAGAGTCAAGACATGACTGAGTGACTGAGCACACATACACTTTTTATTTGGAAAATGGTCCCTCTCGCATTCTTTGCTCTGGTGACAGTCAACGGTACCCACTCACTCACAACTCTTGCCTCCCAAAGCTCAGCTGATGAATATGCCTCAGACTTACCCAATGTCACGTCACCTCATGGGAATGCATATCATAAAGAGACAGATCCAAGGTTGCGAAGAAACTGGAGTTGTATTAAGCTGAATTAAGCTGTCTTTAATTCCTACTAGACAGCCTCATCATTCAGCTTTTTCCTCGAATCTACAATAATCAGTGTCCTTCCAGTAAGCCCCCTTTTTTACTTAGTTCACTGGAATTGGTTTCTATTGCTCACAACCAAAACCTATAGTTGATACGATGGTTATCCAGTTCAGACACTGCAGAGCAACAAATACTGTTTGATTCCACTTATATGAGATACCTAGAATAG